ATGCACATTCGCGCCGACTCTAATGTGAGATTAATTGTTGTGGTCTCTGCTAAGTTCATTCTGAAACTAATTGCTACGCTGATGCTATTTGTCTAAGTGCTGCAAGATTAATTAGACTTAATTTTGCGCTTGGCAGTTGCTAGCAGCTTGAAATATCAGTCCTTTACCTAGATTTTCAATTTTTTATTGTTTGAAACATTCAAGCAAATTTCCCTTTCCTTGTAAACCTGAAAAGCCACGGATAAGGTTGATCCCGTTTCGTACTTCGCATATGAAAATTGCTAAAGAACAATTTCTAGATTCTACGTTGGATCTCTGAATATGAAACGCTTGAGGGTTCGTGGGAGGGGGGGGGGGGGAGAATATGCAAGTACACTATAAATTTAGACAAATCGATTATCTCTAAACACTCCTTGCAATCCACTAAGGCTGGTTCAATTTTAGTAATTTAGGATTCTCTTTCCTAAATATGCTAAGCAGTTGTACCAAATATGTGGACTTTTCAAACTGCAATTTACCAAAATTCAAAAATATTTTCGATCAAATATGCTTGAGTTATCAGTTATCACACAAACAAATATAATTCCATGCTAGCGTCTTTGGACAATTTTTTTATCTTCGCCAAATTTTTGTTGAGCTAATGGACACATTCTCCCAACAATAAAAGAAACAGTTTTGTACTCAGAGATTTTAGGCACATCTAGAATACTTATCTATTTCCAATTCCAATACGATTTGTAATATTTTGTGTTGTACTTAACCTAATATGGACTTCGCTAGTGAAACATGCTGTGTTTCTAATTTTTTGACGATTTTTAGTATCCTTTCTTGCACTCATTCCGCTGTACTTGGCGTCTAGAGATTGTATCAAATTTTCTATACACCTTTTCTTTCCAAATATAGACAAAACTCGACTAATTTATCTTTGCACAGTTATTGTTAATAATCTTGACGTCAATGCAAATTAACGTCTGCATCGCGTAACTGCAATGCATGAGAATATGAAGGCTCAAAAATGGTCGATCTTGCTTCCATCGTGGGGGAGGGGGGGGGGGGAGGAGGGTATGAGAAACAAGTCCTGGGAAGGGACCTACCTCACCTTTCTAAATTCTTTAAAAAAAATTTACGTAAATAAAGAAAAATCAATGGAAATTGAAAAGAAGCTCTTCAGGCTCACCCACGCTCAGGTCCTGCGTCGGCATCGTTCCAGCTTAGCTCCGGAGCCTTTTTAGCGGATTGCGGAAAACTCTAGATGCAGCTCAGGAGCCCATAGCTAGGATAGTTGTATGGGGCATCATTTTGGAATTAACTGCGCAACATATTCTCAGATATGTGAGACCTCGACGCTGCAATGAGCGCAGAATGCACAATTCCTGCGTTTCCCTCAACCGAATTGTTCACCCGAGTAGTGTGCGCATATATCCTTTTATCTCATTTTTTTCCCACTTTCGCTTTTTCTTCAGCTCAATGCAAGAGAGTGCAAAGTGGCTAGCCTTCGCCAAAATGTCCTAAAAAACTTTTTGCACTTTTCCTTTTAGGTTCACTTAACGCGGTTTAGCGCTGCTTGTTGCGAGAATCCAAGATTTCTATTCATGTAGTAATTTTTTCCTAAAACGATTTAGAAAGCTCAGCAGCGTTGTCTAGTCCACCTGTTCCTTCGATCCATTCCCTTGAAAGCAATGCTTTGAGATAGGAATTTGGATTCCTTGTGACTCTCTCTTCTCAGCCTCCAATTGGTGTACGTTCTCGTAAAGAATACGGTGCGGGCGAGGATTTCAATTTGACCTTCTCGTCCCCTGGTAGATCATATGAGCTACCGCTTCTATAGTGGTTCAGTACAATTTAAAATTTTGAGATTCGAATTCGCCTCAAAATTTTTTTGGGAGCATGAGTGATCCTCCCCCTCCCCGCTTTCGTTTCTAGTATTGCGAGGCTGACCCGCAAAAATTTTGAGAAGCATTCCAAAAAGTTTTATTTGGAGTATGTAGGTAACGCTACAGCGCATCTTTATTCCTAGAAAAATTCTTGTCCTTCCCCTCCCCCTCCTCCTCCTCCTCTCCGACTGAAATTCTGGAGCACCACTGCAATCGTCCTATTTTTTAATAGGGTACTTCATAATTGTTCTTCCATTCTAGAAACTTATATTTGAGTGGTTAGTAGCTGAATTTTTACTTCTATTTTTATTAGAATTTATCTATAGCCTCAATGATGTGATAATGAATAGGAAGTGTAACATGTAAATATACAGCATGATATTTTCCGAATTAACATAAAAAAAGACATAAAATTCGGAGATCAAGAGCAACTTGTATCTGTCACTTTTTTCTTCCCTCGAATTTCCTAGTACGCTTCAACTTCAGTTTCTCCAGTTCAAATGTCGTCCATCAACCATCTGTCTCCTGACAGATGGAATAAGGAGTGCCCTTGAAACAGGAATTTTGATTAATATTTTTATCTGCCTTCTTCAAATATCAATCAACAATTTACACCATTTTTCCGCAATGGTAGATTGGTATGATTTCGACAAACAAAATTACTTCCATTCTTCCAGTGCAAATTTTTACTCCCCTAAACTTTTCAAAAAATTTCGCACCTCAAAAATGACTGCGACGAGATATTTCCTAGAAAATATGAGATTCAAAAGTTCAAATTTAGCAGTTTTCGAAAATTGTACAATATTTTTTCCTGAATTCCTAAGCTGCAGGCATGTGCCAAAATATTGCACAATTTTTGCAAAGTTAATTAAATTTTCCAATTAATTTGGTGAAAATCTGACTTATTCTATTGCAAATGCTTACAAAAATATTTCCTGTTTCATCAGCATTACTTACTGCGGCTTTACAACAGCAACCAATGAATGCTTCTTCTTTATCAGAGTTTTGTTGAATTTTATGGGTAACGTGTGGTCTGAGGGAAGTTTTCGAAGTTGCCATACAAAAATTCATGTGCACCCATGCAAAAATCTTGAACCATTCTATTTCTCCTGGTCTTTTCTCTCTCTCAATAACAGCCATCGGTGGAAATGAAGGTCAGTGGTCTACTTGTGAGGCTGTCCAGAGTTGCGCGTGCCAGCGTTGTGCCAGTACCATGCCAGCTCTAAGCCAGCACCCGCCTACCAATCAATACGGAGCATGTCCGCGTTGGACTGCCACTCACCATTGGTGATCTACCCTTTGATTCAACGAAATTGGCGGTCTGAAGGCGACGGCCCGAGAGGTAGTCTGCGTCTCTCTCGCGCGCGTGCTCTCTGAATTCATTCTCTGGCTTTAAATAGGTCACGAAGCCCCGCCTTTCAGCCGCCAATCCAATTGAATCAAGGGGTACTCATAGTGAACATAATTACCTTTGTCTGTATTATTTTTTCCGCAATTTTTCGTTTACTTAGCGCTGGGATTGATCTAATAGACCCTGAAATAAACAAAAAAGGCAGCTTGCTAGTAGTTGTTGTTTATGGACCACTTGATTTGAGCAGTGGAAAATGCTCTGTCCTACGACATTATGCTGTTTTTGAAATGCTTTGCAGCTTCATGTTATGATTTCATCCGAAATTCCGAAATCACTTACATTCACCGCTAATCAGTGAAGAATTGTGAAATAATCCATGAAGTAAACATTATAAACGTCACTAATTTCAGCATTCAACTGAGCGTGAGTGAAAAATAAAAATAAAAATCAAAGCTTCCTGGTTTGAGCACGCATTATTCTATCTCTTGCTCACAGCATTCCCTAAGTGCAGACAGACTTATTGTTAGAGAAATTCTTTTGCACTGTCCTACTAATAAGCTTTGGAAGTTGTTTGTCTAGTTGCTTAAGGATGAATTCTTCCCAATCAATTATCTTTTCGTTACAATGCGTTCTATGCCCATCGTGAAGGTAGTAACTAGATAAATTTGAATACCTGAGTTTCCCATGTGGATACTGATTCGAAGGCCTCGAGTAAGAACCTTCCCCCAGTCTCAGCTCATGTAACTCAATCGCACTCGAGAAATCTGAGCTCTAGTCCAAACCGTACCTCTACCGTTCCTCTACCGTACTCAAGAATGGATCCGTCCGTAGGAAGAGGTCACGGTCCTAGAAAACAGTGCACTTTCATGCATAGTCTTTTGTTCTTGACTCAATGTACGTAGTAAGAATTTTCATGCACCGCTCGGACTACGGTAGGTGTACTGTATCATCGAGTTTCTTACTACCGCAGTATTTGCATAAGCTGTGGAGTCCTGTAAATGCAATCATGTCTCGAAATCATACCGAATTTCAATTCCAGTTTCAATGATTTACACGACGGGGCGACGGGGAGGGGGGGGGGGGGGGGAGGGGTTGAGTCTTTTTTTGCCTAGTCATACGTAAGCGTTGGTAAAGATGTTTTTTTTCGCTTTGTCTCTGAATAATCACCCCTAAATAAAGGGTGCCACTCTCTGAAAAATAAAGTACTTATAATCTTTACTGAAAGAACCAAAGAAAAACAGTTTCAAAAAAGGCTCTTTTGGTTTTTGTTTGCATTTTCAAAAAAGTTGATTTCAATTCTAATTCTTTTAATTTTAATTTTGATCTTCTCTAATCTTTCAATTTTTTTCTAATTAAGTACCAATCACTTCGATATTAGCTAATATAGTTGAATCGACCGAAGATATAGTTTTTCATTCCAGTTGTAATCAACATTTGGGAATGGAGATATTTAGTATTTTAAATTTGTGCATTATCGAGGACTGAAATTGTCACCTTAGTAAAGCTTTTGATTCATATGGTATATCAATCGATATCTATTCTTACCATTGAGTGGTAATGAGCCATATCGCAAATCTAATGAATCATAAAATTGCTTTGTTTACCGCGTTGCTTGCTCATATACCATGAATCGTATAGTATTTTTGGACTCCATAAATGACAATACCACTTAGCAGCTTACTATATACTCGAATATCTAATGAATACTTGTTTTCCGCTAGATTAGATGTTTTACTTCACAGTTGATGTTTGCTTCACGTCTTCCCATTCTAAGTATGGGCTGTTTCAGAAGTCGAGTGGGTGTGATGACTGCTGAAGTTGTGACAGAAGAAGTGCCACGGCAATGGTTTTGTTGTGGGTGAGTGAAATTTTTGAATTTTTTCATTGCATTTGCATCCAAAATTCGGACAGTTTTGAAGAAATAAAATTCCAAACTTGACTTTCGGTGCCTCTAGATAGCTATTTGCTATGTTATTTTCAAAATGTGTAGTGTAGTGTTAGCTTTTATACTAAATCGGTACTGATTTTTTACACTCGAAGAAGTGTCCTTATAGTTTCTTTGGAAAATTTTTTCTCATTTCAAAATTGCGTGGAGGGTTGCAGCCTCTAGTATGATACGCATGAAAAAATCAAAGTTTAGAACTTTTAAATTTTTTGCGAATTATTTTCTGACATTTTATAGCTTGCGTTAATGCAAGTTCAAATCTTAGAAGTGCTTTGTTTTGAGCACTAATGATCTCGGAAGTTCTTCAATATCAAAAAGATGGAGGATGAAGTAAAAATTTTCCAGAAGATATGTAAATACAAAGGTAGGTAAAATCTAGTCAGCTTACCTTCATAGGTATCCGCCCTAAATTTTTTTGTACCTTATTTTTTATGGAAAGTAGCAGCCCAGTGAACACTTACAAATAATTTCTGGTAAAATTTCTTATGAGAGACTTAAAAACCATCTTGTAACTAGTTTTTCTGATTTATCTGAAATTACCCATGATTTTTATATTCCAGTGATGCTTATTGGCAGATAAATACAAAAACGCATTCCCCTTAACTATAGCAGTGTAATAAGGTCGATTTTTCCGAATTTGTTAATTGAGAACATTTACAATTTTTTGCAAATTTTTCACATGTATCACACTCTCTGGACGGATTCAAATCTCCGATATTTTCACGTCACTAACACCAAGCTCTAGAAGTTTTCAAGTTATAAATATAGAAAAAAGTCGATTGGAAGGAGATCTCTCTTTCTGACCATCAAAACAAAAGTTCAGCCTTTTATTGTGTCATTCATCATGTGCGAAGACACATAATCCCTTCATAGCTAAGATTAACATTCGCAAAACATTCAAAACAGGGTCTGTCTGGCCTTCCCTTGCTAGCAGCTTTCGCTTATTATCGATACTCACTTTTTATTCATGTCATCATAAATCGAGAGATATGATTTTGCAGCTTTTTGTTCTCAGCGTGTTACTTGAAGAAATTTGGTTGTTAGCATAGTCAATTTTTAGAACTCCTTATAAACAGTGTCGGCGTAAAAAACTATAAGTAAGTTAACTTATTGTATAATCTCCATAAGGAATTTTTATTCAGTGATATATCAATTCAACTGCCGAAAAAATTGCGGCGGGTATATTAGAACTTCTTTTTTCATGATAATAGGCTGAGTTAACAATATCTTATCTCTCAATTGCACACCCTGTTCCGTTATCAAGCATTAACTCTCTTTCTAAAATCTAACTAAACAATTTTTTTTGTTGAGCTATTTATCCCCCCGTAGAGTGTCCCAGCCATTTTTCTTCTATTCACAATTAGCTATAGTGGGGTGTTATACGCACGCAAAGATTAATTTACATGCAGAATGGAAGTGAAATCCCAAGAGAGAAGAAGTGAACAACACCTAAGAATAAGCTTTACTATGACTTACAGCTTAGGGTCTCGTGCTTCTTGACGGCAAAAGCAACGGAATATTCTTCATCGTCTTGCAAAGTGAGTCACTACGTCATTTTCCGTGGAAAAGTAAACTAGCAAGCTTCTTTTACGTTCTTTTTTTATGGGATTTTATGACAAAATCTTAACGGAGTCTTCTGATCAATAGGGCACAAATGAAGTGTAAATAACTTGCACAAGCGTCTATCTAAAATAATTTTCTTTTGAACTTCAATTTCTACATACATACAGCTTAAACTAGGAATGCGATATTTTGATGTCTATCGTAATTCTCCAAAATTTTAAACAAAACTCTACACTAATCGCTCAAAATCGTGCAAAGTGATTTAACTGAATCAGCACTAGTTTTTTTTTTCATGTCAATTTACCCTAAAATCCCATAGATAAGAGCGGTTTAATTTACCGGTGTAAAATGAATTGAAATGAAATTGAAATTGAATGCAGTCACCCCTCTAACTTGATGGATGGATAAATAAAAATCGGAGAAGAAGTTTAGAAGAAGCTCCGCCCCTCAACTCTAAACCCCGCCCACTTAATAAACACTTCATATAGAAATTCCGAAATTCCGTTAAAATCGCTATTTTTCTATATGAATTGTTTATTAAGTGGGCGGGGTTTAGAGTTGAGGGGCGGAGCTTCTTCTAAACTTCTTCTCCGATTTCTATTCATCCATCAAGTTAGAGGGGTGACTGCATTCAATTTCAATTTCATTCCAATTCATTTTTCACCGGTAAATTAAACCGCTCTTATCTATGGGATTTTAGGGTATTTGGATTGTTTTTTCTTTCCCGGTATGAACTTGCAAAATAGAAGCTTGTTTCAAATTTCATGATCTGAAACCTTTCAAAAAATGCGCAGACACGAATCGCATGCCCTATTGTAAAAGTTGAAACCTGCTCGGCACATTTGCTTTCTGGAATCTTTGTACATTTTCACTTTCTTCTTATTTCAATTATGTTTTTCTTAGTTTAGAATGTGTAAAGCTCACACTGCAATATGCATATAGTTGTTCAGCGTATTTGTGTTGAGCTCCATATTTTTAGCGTCTAACAAAAAAATCTGTTACTTGTCCGCAGCTTCATGGTATTCTTGGACCAAAGACAGTGGTTTTAACTTATTGCATTCGCTGCTCTTTTTCTACGCTTTTCGTGCTCAAAATAAATCCCCTGCAATGCTCCACTTCCTCTAGGCTTATCCAACAAAATTGAATTTGTAGACAACGCGATTGAGTTACACCTTCTCGTTGCTACAACTCGAACAGTTTTCCGAAAAATTGCAATGGCAAGCTTACTCTGAAAAATAGTGATTCGTGGTTGGGGGAACAATACTTCAAGTTACGAAGAAAATTTCATCATATGTGCTGCAAATATAAACTGTTACAATTTTCCATCACATAACTCTATTATAACAGGAAAGTTGAGCTACTTTTTAGCAGGCGACAAATTTATTATTATTTGAACGTTTTATTTGATTTCCTTATTTTTTAACAACAACTTATTTGAACAAATATTTCAGTTTTTTGAAAAAATTATCTACGCAGAACTCTGCTAGAGCGAGTTCACCTCATAGACGGAGTTTTGCGTATAAAAAAAACATATGTTTCAACATTTCGAGAAAAAGAAGGGCTGAAATCTGACAGCGGGAAGGTAAAATCCTAATTTTTCGCCATGTTTTCAAAATTTTCCGTTTCTTTGTTGTGTAAAAAGTATCAATAGAGATCTCATCCCCAATGCATCCCTTCAAACTTGCCTTTAAAACTTGTGACATGAAGTTAAAGGCGTAGAAATCAATTGTAGCGCAGTTATTACTTTTCCCCTAAAATTATTTAAAAGATCAAAAATTACTTACAAACAAAATTCTCGAACTTCCATAATAGCTAAACTTGGTTTTACAGTTTCAAAAGTTTTCTCCGAACCTTCATAATCTATTTAGTTGAGAATTTTGGAAAACTCAAATCAACGCTTTTTGGAGCACTACGTAGCCCACACACTAGAGCAAAAATCATCAAACCTGAAATGTATTTGCATCGTAAATTTATACTCAATATCTTTTTGATCTAGATATGAAAAGAATCGGGTTCAATTTGAATAAGTAAAATGCATGAGATTTAGGTTTATAGATTCTCAAACCTGGCTTAATCACGTTCTCTAATAATTTCTATTTATGATTTTTTCATTCAATAAATGAATTTCTAGCATTTCTATCGCAGAAATCGAAAAACTAGGTTTTTCTTCGCACTGGAATTGTTCTCAAGATTCATAGATTTCCATTCTCCCATTTCCAGGAAATGAAAGGTAAAAAATAGAAAAATGAAAGCTTTAACGAAAGCAACAATAAAGCGAAAAGTACCTAAAATTATGATGTTAATTATTTTTATATGAAGGCTGTTTGAGATCACCTGAGCGGAAAGGGCAATGCAATCATGCCTCGGATTTGTGGTTCAGTTACACCCTCAAAGTGTTCTCTGCTACAATTCCAAGCTACTCCTTGAAAGGTTGTAGGAGTTGTAAGTACAAGTGTACCAAGAGTACGAGTATCATGTTACTATCAGAAAGGAGCTTACCCACTCCTTCTTCAAGAAGCCCAAACACATGCCCACATTTAGATCTTTTTTATCCTTAACGGAGTTAGTTGGCTCCTTCCAACTTCATTGCTGCCATTGGCGAAATGGTCTTCGGGATGACATGAAAATAGAATTCTTTCTTTTCTGAAAACCCTAGGGAATGACGAGCATCTTTTGGAAAATGAAGTTTAGCTTCTAGGGTTGCGTCAATAAATGAGAAGTAAAGTTTTTTAATGTAATGTGTAAATAACCAAAAACTTCGTTTCGTTCCTGCCCTTAGACGGAGTAAAACTATTTACAGACCTTCCCCGGAACTCCTCAGTGAGGAAGGAAGGTCTGTAAAACTTTCTTTCAATAATAAGAAGTAAATTTATCAAGGAGTGTAAAGTATGTACATGAATTTTTTAAAATATAAGTTTCAAAAAAATTGTTAAGTTATTATATCAAAACTGTGATAGTAATAGAATTACTTACCTCTAAAAGAATATACTTTTATTTGATACTGTTGATACAATGTTTTCTTTGCTACTGTACAGCAGTGGCTTCTCTCTCACGCCCTAAGAATGGGAAGCATAATTTTTGAAAGCGACTCGCTTATGTTATTAAGGTTTTCTAATTTTTCTTGATCTGAGTAATCAAACCTTCGTTATAGAATCTTATCGATAACTCAACACTTCCTTTAAATTATTTAGGAAGAAACGTCTAGCGTTGTGGGGATGTTGGTGTGTATTTCCACACCCTTTTTAGGAAAAACAAAATTTTGAGAAAATTTGATAAGTCCATGCCTTTTCAAAGTCGCAAAGAAATTCTTTGAGGGAGATTGTCGCCCCGCCCTATGAAATTTATCGCGG